ACTTTTAAAGTATTCCTTTTCTCACATCTCACACCTGGTCGCCGACGAAGAACAACAACAACAACGATGAGCTCCTCGAACCGCCGGCAAACATTCTAAGAGCCAAAGCACTCGGAACAACAAACATTTTACGCGCCACGCCATGCCAGCGAATATTTTTAAAGTTTTTGACATAGTTTCTCACGTTGGCATCCAGCTGGGCACGCCCACTTGAGCACGCCTCCCCCGCACGCACTCACAAATTTCCACCAGTTCGGAAAAGCAGACGTCTGGCTAATGAGCTGCAGGAAGCCCACCTGCAAAAAAAAAAGCGGAAAAAGGGGAAGCGTAATGCACTCGGCATGCATTTTTTATATCAACTTATAAGTGGTTCCGCCAAAATAAAAAAAGAAATAGGTAGAAAATAGGAAAAACTATGAAGTTTTCCGGGTAGCAGAAGGTGTGGCGCGTAGTGCGCTAATTTAGAGGTGGATGCAGGTGTGAAGCGCAAGTAAATGGGTTAAAAGTGGGCAAAAACAGTGGGTAGAAAGGTGAAAGGTAGATGGGATGCCGCAGGACGCAACCCCTTAGTAGTTCAGGTGGTTAGTTAGTGGAATGTTCGCATTGCTCGTGCTCCATGGGGGATGCCTGATTGTAAAGAGATCTTTTATTTGAGGAAACCACGGAAAATTGGGAAGATAATTAGTGATCCCAGAAAATAAGCAACACGTTCTACATTCCAAATAGCTAGTGGTAGTAATTGGGTAAGTAATTCCTTAAATTCCAGGAGAAGTAACCAAATAGCGGAATAATTTGTTTATTAAAAATTTAATAAATAATGGTTAAGCTTTAGTTAAAGTTGAAACTATATTTTTTTTAATATTCCCCTTTAAAATAATCAATAAAAGATAAGTCTCAGGAAAAATAAACCAATTTAATATTAAAAAAAATTGTAGCATACTTATTAGAGAGTTTTGTCAAAGTGAATATCTCCAGAATTTCTTTGTTATTTGTTTGCTTTCAAGTTGACATACAAACACAAGAGACACTAATTAAATTAGGTTCCAATTCAATTCAACGTATTTAATATAATTTTCTCAGCTCTTTAAATGGAATGTATTGAGTGAGTTCTCCTGCAAATTGCTTTTGACATTTGAATTTGAATTGCTATATTTAACTTGTTCAGCATTTCTGGCACTCATATTTGTGCTTTTGGCTTTTTCCTCATTAGCTTTCTACCCAATTTTCACAATTTATTTTCTATCCTCTCTCTTCTCTCTTTCTCTTTTGCTATCTGCCCCTGAGTACCATTATTTTCATTTGTATTCTTTTTTGGTTTTTCTTCGCTCGTTTAGCTATTCTGTTGAGCAAAATTAACTGCCCTTGCTGTTGCATAAAATTTAAATTTTATTTGCTTTTATTGTCGCTGTTTTATTTCATTTGCCTTGCTTTTGCTTTATTTTTGCAAGTTTGCTTTATTTTGTTATTGCCTTGGGCAACATTCTATTTTTGGGTGTGCGCATCATTTCCATATCAATAACAGCTGGACGGTTGGGTTCGCGGTACAACTCCGAGGAAATCGTTTGACCCCGGCTAGGGAAGCTGTGAAACTGGAGCTCTTGGCATCACTAAAATCGCATTTGCCTTCGGGGATTATTTGCTATAATTCATGCTGTCAATGCAAATTGAAATTGTGTCACGCAGTCAAGTCGGGAAAGTCGGCAGTCATCTAGTCAGCCATTCGACGTTCGCATTTTCCATTTTCCGCTCTCGCCAATTTCCCCAGCTTGCCTTTTCGTATTTTTCGTACTTTTTTTCCCTATTTTTTTTTATACACACCGCTCACCGCAATTGTTGGGCAGCCAGTCAGCCAGCTTCCATCTCCCAGGTCCTGCCGGCTAAATCTCAAAACACAAATGGATTTTTAAATTACCCTCGTGGCACTTTTCGACTCCTACTCCTCGTTGTCCTTCTCCACGTCCTCGTCCGCGTCCGCGTCGTGGTAGTAGCAGGATGTGGATGAGGGCCCATAAAACTGTGTGCTGTGTGTAGGTGCATTGAATTATCTGCGACATTCTGTGCAGTTGGTTTAATTCAGCAAAATGCATAGATATGAGAAGGATGGGGGTGTAGGTTGGGGGGGGATCATAAACTATGCATGGGCAGCGTTTGTCGAGCGTAAGAACGCTCAAATTGCTCCTCTGAAGATGCAGCCTGTGGCTCCTCGACTTGCGCTTTTTGCTCGCTGCTCGTCCTTTGCATTGTTGAGTTATGTTTCTTGGTTCTCAGCGCCAACCAACCCAATGGACTGCCGCCCACTGCCGCCCACTGACCCCACAGGACCTCCCACCACTCCTCCTTGCCCCTCTTAGCGGCCATTGAGGTTCAGTGAAGCGGCAGCAATACCCCTTCGTTTTTCTTCTTTTCCGGGGTTTTTATATCGCTCGCAGGCGGCACTTGCATAAACCAAATGCAGAGACAAGTGTCTTCGTCGTGCAGAGAGAAAAACAAATCAGGACTATGTACACAGAATATTGTCTTTACTTTGCAGCAAATTTAATCAAAACAAAAATATGCAACTTTGCCAACAAACAGAAGATGTGTACTTAGTCCAGAAAAATACTGAGAATTTTGAAGATTTTTATAATGTCTTCAGTTATTTGTTCTTTTCTTTTAAATGTTAAAAATGTTTCTTTAACGAAGTTTGCTCTAATTTCAGGTCACTCTAACAAATTTTGGAAAGAAAATTGTATTTTTTCAAGTGTTTGGTCTGCTTGGCTGGTTTCTTTGGATCCTGTAGGACTGGCTCCTTCGATATCATACCCACTGCTGTCCCATCTACCAGCTCCGATCTCCGAAAAGGGCTGCCGGCTTTCGACGTGTGTCAAGTGCGATGCATTTGTTTAATGCCAGCGTTCAGTAATTGGAAAGCATGTCGAACATGTCGAATTTATTGCCCCGCAAAAGGCACACACAGATACAAATTCGAAACGGTTACAGATTACGGATGCAGCTACACATGGCCACAAGGTTACATAGATACAGATCAATGGGCGAAATTCGGAGCATTCCGAGTCAATGGCTTGGAAGAGCCCCAACCAAATGCAATTAATCAAACGCAAGGGGCCAATGTCAATTACATGCAAGAAGCCTTCCCATTCCCCCCTTAGTCTCTCTTCTAGTCAAGAATCACAAGGATTCGGTACTGTTCGGAAGGATTCGGGCCACGTCAGCTGGCCAAAGGCGAGATGTTGGCCGAACTACGTTGTCTTGGCCAACACCTTCCTGTAACCTATAAATTCCAGTCGACATACACACACACACACACACAATCCTCTTGCATTACCATTACCAACGGCTGTTGTCCGTTGTGGGCCAAAAGCGTGTTTGGTTTCTGGCTACTACCATATGTTCCACTATTCTCCCGAACCTTGCCAAACTAAATTGCATTAAATATTTTGCATAATTTGATAAATTGAAATCTAATCGAACAGCATTCTGGAGAATATCTGAAATACCTAAAGGTCGTAAAATCGAATCATTGTTCATCCTTAATGGTTGCGTAATTGAAACTCTTGGGCTAACAGCTCTAGACTATTTAACTCCATAAGATCTATATCTGTTGTTATTCATATGATGTCACTTCAGTTTTTATTGATTCTAGATTAGTGATCTAGTGATAATCTAGTGATAAAATGGTGTTAATTGGAATTTAATTTTGTTTCCTGCCGACTAGCTTAAAAACCAATCAATTGGGAATAAAAATACAAGAATAACGAGGTTTGGCATTCCATATTTTGACAATTTTTGGGAAATCAATTTTGAGAAATCAGAAGTCAGAGTTTTTTTCATAACAAAGCTTAAAATTTTCGAAATAGGGAATGTAATATATAGATGAGTTTGTAAAAATGTCAATTTTTGGTCATTTGGTTCATCACAAACAAAACAAACCAGAAAGTGAAACAAATGGTCAGTTTTGGTCGTCAACAGCACAAAACAATCGATTCTTTTGTTGTACGTCTTGTTTGGACTATTTTATAGGCTATAAACCTAAAAAAAATATTGCAAATATTTCTTGAAAATCGTTTTCTGATTTATCGTCAAAGAAATCAGTATTTTGTCCATAACGTTGTCAAAAATGGTCGGAATATGGAAAGCCATATCTCGATGAGTTTGTAATTAAATTTTCAAAACCTAAAAATTTTAATTTTTGGACATTTTTTGTAAAAAAAAACATGATGGAAAATGAAGTTTCCCAAATTGACCAGAAATCTCTTAGGTGCACAAAACAATCATTCTTTTGACTGTACGTCTTATTTTGACTATTTTATGGGCTATAAACCTAAGCAAATATTTCAAAAAATACTTAAGCATTTTTATTTTGATTTATCATAAAAAAGTCAGTATTTTGCCCATAACGCTATCAAAAATGATCGGAATATGTAAAGTCATATCTCGATGAGTTTGGAATTAAATTTCCAACATAACTGTGTTCACACCTAAAAATGTCAATTTTTGGCCATTTTTCGCAAAAAAGAAAAAAAAATGCAAAAATTGGCCCAAAAATGAAGTTTCCCAAATCTACCAGAAATTGATAAATTTAGTCAGTTTTGGTCGTCGACAACACAAAACGGTCGTTCCTTTTATTGTAGGTCTTGTTTTAACTTTGTTCTGGCTATAAACCTTGAAAAAATATTTTAAAAAATACTTAAGAATACTTAATTATTACTCTGATTTATCTTCAAAGAGTCAGTATTTTGCCCATAATAATTTTAGGCCATATTTCCATTTAATAACATTTTCTCATCAATTTACAAAAACTCACTTTGTTCTGAAGCAATGAAAATCCTGTTCATCGGCAACATGTTGCTAAAGTCTCGTCAATGTTGCAGCAACATTGAGTCACCCGCCCGCAGAAAAACCACCACCGAAAGTATGCATCAGATACACGAACTGGCTTCGGGTGAATTTCTAGCTAGGAACTCAGTTTCTGTTTTTGGTTTTGTCAGTTAACGCTGCGACTCCGGACCGATTGGACGCGTTTGAGCGTTTTGGGTTAGCATAAAAACGTGATTATTTTACACTCGGGGCTACGCGTGCGCGTCTCAGCAAAGTCAAAAGTGTAAAGACAAACGCAAAGGCAAAAGCCAAAAGCTAAACGCAAACACAAAGTAACAACTTCGACGGTCGAAATTACCGGTTTTTCGCCAACAATCGTCGCTCTCTGTGAATTTTTGCGCGCGGTCTTTTCCTTTGCCAGCTCTTTTCCGTAAAGTGCGTTGGCTTTTCCCAACAACCAAACAGCCAACCACCCCCTTTTGAGCGTCCCTTTGCCGTGAAAATACCTAGCTAGGTTATAGTCTGTTTACTATATATATATATATCTCGAATTTCCCGGAATCAAAATAGTTAAAATTAGTTGAAAACAGTGCTAAAGTGAGAACAGCCAGGCACACACACTGGCCAGTGCTAATTATAATTTATATATATTGTGTTAATAATACAAACACAAGGTGCAAAAAAGGAAAACACGGATGCGCGAATTTAAATGCCATATTATAAATATTTAACAATGCAGCCGTGCAGCTAAAGCGGATTATTATTGGCCACCGACGCGTGGAAATTCCGAGGCAGAGCAAACAAAGGCCTGTAAGTTCACACGTTCCACAGTCAGGATATATCTGGGATATATACGAGTATATGCGTATATCTGTGTGTGTCCTTGTGGGCGCTATTGCGGCTGCATTCTAATGGGGATTGTGCGATGCATGACACCTGATGTATGACATATGACAGGTGTCGTACCAACAGGATACTGTATGTCCTACAGGAAGAGGGGCTTTAACTCTTTTAGATAAATTTCGGATTTAACGATTTATTTCTCGGTGGAAATGTTGGTTTTTGTGCATACAGGCGGATTTTACTCTTTCGGGTTTAGCTCACATTTGAAATATTTCTGATTAGACAAGAAGAAATCCATTTCAGTTTTTAAAATATTTGTTTAAGGTATGTCATAGGTAGTGATTTAGTTTACCTTTTGCAAAATTTGTTTAGTTTAAATGTGATTTTTTACTTTATTTATTTGAATAAGCTTAAGCTAAACCGACTTAAGAGCTAGAGAGAGGATTTCGAGGCGTTAAAGTTCTTCCTGCCCTCCAAAATATTTTCGATTTAACGAGTTCTTAATTAACTGCTTTCAGCTGTACGGCTTCGGCAATAAAATAGAGTTCCAATTGGGCCTTTAAACTTAGGGCCTCTTTCTTGGCCATCTCCAATTAGCAGTTGGGCCAAACAGTTGGCCCAAAACAGTTGGCCAATAAAGCCGAAGTCCGACGTTCACACAGTGCAACTGTTAAAGTTCAGAGTCGCCACAAAAGAAACAAACGCGATGCGAAGCTCTAAGCAAACATAAAACTGAATACCAAATGAGACAACAAAAGGAGGAAGCACAATAAAAGTCACATTAAAACGTGGGGAGCAAAAAAAAAAAAAAAAAAGCAGAGAGACAGAGAGAGAAAAAGGAGGAGAGCCGGGTCAAAACATAACCGAAATCGGAATCGGGGAATCATGGAATCAAATGCCTGCCTGCACGAGATACAAATGTATCTGTATCTGAGCATTGCAAGTGCTTTGTTTTCCCTGCATTTCACACTTGTCCATGGGATTTCGCCTTTGTATCTTCGTATCTTTGTATCTCGGTCCCTTTGTCTGGCGCATAAATATTTTAGCAAGCCTGAAAACAAACTTATCCGCTGGATACATTATTCACTCGACGATTTTGTCGGATTGCCAATTTATTAAGATAGATTTCATTTTTTTATAGCGGCCATTAACACGGCGCCTTTGTTTTGTTTTTGTTTTTTTTTTGTTTTTGAAATGGGTAGAAAATGGATAGCAACTCTCGCACATTTATGTTTTATGATTTTCTAGTTGGAATGCGGTGTGTTTGGTGCAATTGGAAGAGTCAAGTCAAGTCCATTTCGAGCATGCCAGTGGCAAGTAGCTGAAAAATTGTTGTAAGACTGGTTTTCAGAGCTACTGCTCCTCGTTCCCTACCTTTTCTTTCCTTCTCTCTTTCTCTCTCTCTCTCTTTCACTCGCTTGGCATGTTACCAACCTTTTTCCATTCTTCTTGCGGCAGGTGCAGAGAAAAAAATAATTACTACCTTGGATTCTGGATTAAACGATCTATAATTGATAGAGAATGAAAACCTTTAATGGTAGTTTGTTCTCTTATAGTTTGAGATATTTTACTTTGTTGAATTTTTATTTATTTTTTAAAGTATTTCATCTTATAAAATAAGTAATGTCTTAACTCTTTTTATTATTAAATTTTTACTTAAAACAAACATATATAAAAAATCTCTAAAAAACTCAAAATAAAATATTTTCCTGTGCAAGAAATAAGTTTGTTAGCGCCCGGCTCTCTTGGCGGTTTTGCAGCTGTCTCGGCCAGGTTAAGAGCAATCCACCACCGGCAGTCAGTTCAGCTACAGGCCATCATCCTGGCCAGAACACATCCTCTTCTTCTTCGGTAGCCACAACCTGTTTCTCATTGCTCTTCTTTCTTTTTTTTTTTTGAGCTCAAAAAGATCAGCTCAGACTTGGCCAAGGAGTCGACTCACAAAAAAAAGGCGATTTTTTCCGGCTTCTGATGCCACATTCGCCGAGTATTGTCAACTCATCCGGCGAACTAACCTCAGTCAATCCATTCGGAATTCAAAACCGGCAAAAGGAAAACTCGTTATGGCTCTTGATTAATTAACATTTGAATGTTGTCTCGTGCCAGTTAATGTGGCTGATTTGTGACTGGGATTGGGTTCCATCAAAACATCAACAGTCTATTGTGAAAATTATTAGAAAACGTCTTAGGAACCATTGTCAAATGGAATTTGCATGGCAAGGAGTTGGTTGAATTCAATGTACTCATTCCAGATTCATTGATGACGTTGACGGTCTACATATTTTTGTGTATTTTATGGATTTGTTGTGGCCTCTCTTGGTCACTATTCACAACAGCTAGCCATGAGATACTTCTGCGTAGGCTCGGGCCCTCTTGGCCGCACTCAAAACTGGTTTCGGCCACATTCAAAATTGTTATGTTAGAATAAAAGCTTAATTGATGCATATATACACGGCGTACGGTATAGTTATATTCGGCAGCAACAGCCCACAGATACAACCAAAAATCCGACAGATACAGATACAGATTCAGCTACAGATACAGATGGAAGCAAAGCCAGACTCAGCTGGATAGGTTATGTCATGCGGCGTCTATCGCATGATTGATGGAATTTGTCTGGATATGTAACTCTGTTCTCCTCCGTCTAAATTAGATATTGATTTGGTTTCGTGGATAATTGTATTTCGGATGCCCAACAGGTGGAATAGTCCAACAGAGGGAATGAATTATGAATGCTAGCTGTGAAAGCAGAGAACATATAAATATTTACACAGCTCCCAAAAGCTATCCATCATCTATGGCTTAAATGCCTCGCCTTGCTAAAATATTTAGTGTTTTTGTAGTTTCCTTTTTAATGTAAATAACAAGGCATTAAGTGCATAGAAAGAAAATTAAGGTGATACGATGATAAACTCTTGACTTTCTTTAACATTTTCTATGAAGAAGTTTGATTTGTTTTGCAATCTTCTTATATAAATCACTGAAATAAGACATTTGTTTGGGTTTGACTAACTTTTTGTTCTTAAAACATTCGTAAGCTTTAAAAATCTTACAAATATTTGCAATCCCAAACCGTATTCATTGAATTCTTTAGAGCGTAAACTTCAATTTAGTCCCTCAAAAGACCAATCATCATTCTCAAATGCAAGAAATAAATGGAATTTATTTTCTATTTAATTAAATGCCAACTTTTAGATAGTGTAATAACGAATAATATTTGAATTTACCACATTTTTGCATCAATTAGGATGCGACCGAAGAATTTAAGTGCTTTGGCTTTGGCTCAATGAATTTACAGCTCGTTTCTGGCTGTTGGCAAACTCAAATCTCGCATGCTCAAAGCAACCAAAACGGTGCGGTGGTAACCCTGTCCACGGCTGAATGCCCAAATTGATTGATTGACAGCCCTGCACATCAAGCTCAATATACACCCCCCTCCTGCTCCCCCTCCCTACGATGTTTTTAGTTTTTGCTAAATTTACTAACGCCATCAAGTAACGAGGAAATGGAAAGCTTTTGGGGGAAAATGCATGAATAATGTAGGCAAAAAAAAGGATGCTCTCCTTGCCAGATGGGGAATTCACACCTCACTGGAATCGGGTGATTCAGTGTGTGTATATGAGTGTGTTGCGAGTGTGTGCGAGAGACCTCATTAGTGTTAATTCAATTAGAGGAGCCAAAGTTTGTGGCACTTTGGCTAATGAGGCATGTCCAAGCATCTAGAACATGCCCAAAAGCCAGAGCACTCCATATACGCCGTTCATTTGCATGCTAGAAATTTGTTTCAATTGCATTAATTAGAGTTATCAATTTGGGTGGGCGGATGGCTGGTGTTTGATGAAATGGATGCCCATAGCTTCAAGCCGATCAGGCTGTCAAATTAAGTGAATGACGTGGTGTTTCACATTAGTGAGAATAAGTCACATTATAATGAAGTTTCTTGTGTTTATTTCGAAAGATACAAGATTGTTTCTTCACTAATCTAGTTTAATTAAGTAATGGAAATGGGGAGGGGGGAAATAATAACTTGGTTTTATTGCTTTGTACTTCTAAACTACAATTTAATAAGATTAGGAAAAGTCAATTGTTAATAAGCATTTCTTATTGAATCTTAAACAGCTAGTTAATTTGATTTATAGGCAAAAAAATGCATAAAAATAAACATTTACTGATAATATTCATAATTTTATTTAAGCTCATTAAAGAGACACCAATATGATTTCACTGCAACTTTACCACCATATTTAACCTGATAATTAAAGGCATTTATTTGGGAATGTCAAAGGAATCCGGCAAAGTATGTCACTAAAGCGGTTTATCAGAAATCGCTTTGCATTTAAACATAATTTAGAATAATTTTAAACTACAAATCAAATGCAGATAAACGAATGCTGACCTTCTTTAAATACCACGGTAAAACCTAATAATTTATTAAATTCATAAATTTAACCGCAGGTATTTGTGGATTCCTTTGAAACCATCAAAATGATTTAGCATTGCCGATAGCCAAGAGAACAAATGCTTACCAATGACGATATATAATAATAATAACAACCACATAATTATGAAAGCTTAACATTTATTAATTCACTTCTATTGAAATCGTATTTCTGAAGAAGTTTATCAGAAATAGTTATTAATTTAAAGCTTGTGGCTAATTATGCTATAATTAATTGCATTCGATTGATTTTATAATCAGGAAAGTAAAACTAATTTCTTTTACATCATTTTAAGTTGCCTGAATACAGGAAGACTAATTTATTAAGCATAGAAGATAAGTCAAAGTTGGCTTTAACACCTCGAGTGTGATTTATTTAATGCATTTTCAATATCTATATATATATATCTTGATTTACCGCCCAACAGAATTTGTGTAATTGGCCAACAGCAAAAGCCGTCGCCGCATTTCATTTGATTAAAGCGTCTCATCATCAGTGGACGTCACATGTTTATAATGCAGAAAGTGC